CATGCGCCCAATTTGCTATTTTGTTAGAAATGCCCTCCAAATAGCAACTGTCCCAACCTTGAATCTACTGTTCAATCTGTCCCTAGCAACCCTCTGTATTATTTCGATGTGATTGTTCCTACATTTTTATATTCTTAAGGTTTATTTTAAAAAATGCAAGAGGGGACATATATAGTCCTCTTTGCACAACATCTCTGCATAGCGCTCGATTCTTGCACTATTATGCACAGGGATTGGAGTGTTGAAATGATTTCAATAAGCTACTCCCCATTTGCCTACTGGAAAGTTCAGCATGATTGCAGCAAGCAGCCCCCATCTCTGTGGGTTCCATGAAAGCTGTCCTGCCCAAACCCAGCGTTGGCTGCTACTAAGGAAGGGTGTATGGGGTTGCCGTAGTACTTACTTAGAAGTAAGCTTTATTGGGCTTAGTGATGCTGATTATTGAATAAATATGCATAGCATGGGGTTGCACTTCTTGGTTTTGAGATGCAGACCTGTAAGATCGGCTCCTATTCATAATTTGGAATAAGTTGCAGTGGAGCTGGTGGATTTATTGTGTGAAAATGAATTTCTAAACACTCCAAAGTCCAATGCAATCCTATATTGCTTGTGCTTATCATCAGTCACTGTATTAGAAAAGCCCTAAAATTATTGGGTGCTTCATCATAGCATCTTTTGGTATTCAGACATTGGAATTAAAAAAAAAAGGGGGGGGGGAACCAACTTCTTGCCTTCTCCTGTATCACTAACAGTTTTCTTTTCTTTCTCTTTCAGTGGATTGTACATCTGGATAACAAATACATTTGTCTTGGACTGAACCAGGACAGGATATCAATGAAGGAAAGCAAAGAAGGATGCTACAGTGCCTGGCTTTTTCCAGGCGTGATCAGATGGCTAAGCAAAGAGGCCAAGCTTCTCCTGAGAGGCATTTAGAAACCAAAGAACTTTTTTTTAAAAAAGAAAAAGACTTAAGTCAAAGAATAAGGTTGTGCATCCCAGACACCTAACTTTGCAACAACGAAAAAAAAAAGTTTTTTTTTCTATTTATGAAATGCAAAGAACACGTAGTACCTGCAGGTGTGAAACCATTTAAATTATTTGTAATATCTATATTTGTATTTATTTTGATAAAACACATTTGTCTTAAAATTGCTTTTAGCACTTACATGTGTCCATTCCAAATTAAATGCTTTTTTTTTACTATATTTCTGATGTGCAGTCTTTCTTTTATTAGGAGTGAACACCTATGTTCTACCTATAACCTACACCGAGGGCCTGACAAAGAAAGCACAAGTGATTAGCCAATTTGCTAGCATGAATTAGAAGACAAAGTCTGTATGGGTAAATGATAAGGCATAGCTTGGCCAGGAATACAATACATATTTATGTAGTGTGGATTCATTGTGTATCTCAGTACAAACTTACTAATCCAAAACAGTGATAAACAGATGTATTCACTGTTTACTCTCTCAGAAAATGGTCTAGGATTATACTGTAAAGTCAGAAAATTATCTGTGCCATGATCTACTTAAAGGAAATTCCATTCATTATTTCTTCCCAATATTTTTAGTCTACCTAACCCAAAATATAACATAAACATGCATTGTACAGATAGCCTCGCAGGTTAGATTCTCCTGCGTACTTCATCTGAAAGTTCCTTTTTGAGCTGTTAAATCAAATTACATATCAGGAGCATGTAAAACGGATAGGTATTTTGAACTAAGGATTGTGTGCTCGTCACCTACGTAATTTATGAGTTGATAAGAAAAGTACAATATTCTCCACCGTACATGTTAAAGGAAGAAGTGAAAACTCGTAAGTTTATCTTTCCCTGCCTCCACTACAATTCCTGTTAACGATGGTTTTGGTTGGTTGACTCTATACATTTCAGATAGGTTTCCTTCCAAATTTGAATTATTGCTATCCTTCATAAGTTAATTGGTTTTGAAACTAAACCATCTGAATAGCAACCAATCTCCCTATGGCATTGAGTAATGATACACCCTTTTGAGGAGAAAGGCCCTGTAGTTTCCAGGACAAAATGATGCTTATCTTCAAGACCTGTACTGTACTTGACTGCCTGAAGCAGTGGATCATAAAATTAGCCGTGCCAGGGGAAAGGTGTGCATAATACTTCCTTTGAGGGAAGCATGACCGTGCAAATATTTGTGCCATCTTTTGCATCCACTTAAACACACATACATTGTTATGTAAGAATTACTGAATTGTGAAAAACTTTTGAGCGTTAAATTATAAATTCTTGTCATATTCAGTTCGGAAAAATGTAATGCAGTTCATGAGAATTACTCAATGGAAAATAGTATGGGATATAGTGATCTTCTTTTGTGATTATTTGTGGTTTGTGTATTTCTAACATAGTATTTTAAACACAGACCCTTGATAATGTTAGACATTTTAACCATTTTATAGCTGAGTAACTTACAGCTTGATCAGAATGCTTTGAATCTAATTTTATTTATACTGCTTGCTTGGATACTACCCATCCCAAAGCTATATTATATGGCTGCATGTAATGTCAGTGTGTGTGTGTGTGTGTGTGTGTGTGTGTATGTGTGTGTATACATTCTCCCCAAAAACCCGAAATACATATAAATGTGAAAAAACAGAACACTCTTCTCTTATATAAGACAGAACAGGTAGGTCTTCAAAGTGAAGCAGGATGAGGCTGATCAAGGCGGGTCCTTGGAAATAAGCTTTTTCTGTTATGGCACCTGCCCTATGGAACTGTCTTCCTCCTGAAATATGGACAGTTCATATTCTATTGGCCTTTCACAAGGTTGTGAAGATATGGCTCTTTCCCCAGGCTTTGGGGTCAGATGTTAGCATGGGGGCTTTGGCATGGTTGTATGTGATTAGTGGGTTTTGTGGTTTTAGTGATACAGTTTTGGGTTTTTTTCTTTCTTTTTTTTTAAATTTGTTTGCCATCCAGAGTTTCTTGGATAGATGGCAGCCATATAAATTGGATTAATAAATAAATAAATGATTATCATGGCAGCCATGAAGTCCTGGGCCTCTTGCTGAGAGAAGGTAGGTTGAAGTCCCCCAACACTTCAAGCTGGAGGAACTTCACTGCCTCCCTCCCCCCATCAGCAATCAAGTTGAGTAGCCTTGGCAGGGATGGCACAGTGCAGCAAGGGGAATGGTGCATGAACGAATCCAACTGGCTCTTCTAGCTCAGCCACACAGCCAAGAGAGTTGCAAGAAGGCCAGATGACTTTCTAATTCATGCTTTCTTTGAGCAGATCTTGCTTTTCAAGTGGTGCTTTTCAGATTCTAAAGCCTGCACAACCTGTAGCTACCAGCTGGTGTTGTATCTGCCCAGAAGCAGTATCTTCCCTTTCAAATACCCTTCCAAGTTTAGCTCTAGTAAGCAAGAGGAAGCATCAGCTTGTGTTATGAAGAGGTAATTTGAATACATAATTTGTAACTCAGGCAAGGAGGGACAGGCTTGGGGTGAACTCAAGGCCTCTAATAATAACATCAATGTTCATATAGCCTTTTGAGTGTTCAAAGTACTTTAAACAATTTTTTAAAATCCTTACTTCAAACATGTAAGTAGGCCAGTATCTCTGCATTGCAGACGTTGTAGAATGGAAGGCAATTATGCTGGGAAAACAGGCAGATATGTACATACAGGCCAGATTCACACAACTTGCTAAGCCATAATGCCAATTGTGACTTATTCATCTAACCATGGTTTAGGAAATCATAGCTTAGAATTACACATAAACTCAGAATGAGGATTGCTTCAGTCTATTTAGTGAACTTTTAGTTGTGGCTTGGGTAAGATATGTACTGTACCCAGTTAATCATGGAGCACATACATAATGCTGAAATCCACATGTCCTTAAACTTGTGTTACTGACAATAGCTACTGATATAGTTAGTTATAGTATTATCCAATAGAACTTATCATTTGGGCTTCTGTTACAGTGTAACATTATAAGTTGTCTCTCATCAAACTTCACTAGGAGCAAATGACGTTGACCAAAAAAATTGGATTGTGGTGTGGGATACAGGTAGTATGTTCTGGATAGTAGTGAAAAGGAGCTCTATGTGTAGCTATGTGTGTGTGTGTTTTCATGTTTTTGTGTCAGGATAGCCAGTCACATGTTTAGCATTACATCTAGTCCAACATCTTGATGAGATATTACAATCGTGTGAACAAGTAAATCTTTCCTGTTCTTTGTACTTTCTCTAGCTTAAATTAAACTGCCTTGAATCTATAATAATAATAGTAATAGTAGCCTACAGTATTCCAAACGACAGCATTCTAAAATGATTTTTTAAAAAATGTATTTCCCCAGATATTTTAAACATATGTATTTACTGCAGAATGGTATACCACTATTGCATTTTAAGTAGTAATTCTGGTGTTATATAAGTGGTAAATGATAAAAATGCAGTACCTGTAGGTAATCTTGCCCACAGTGCCTCACCCTAAGAAAGGTCATTGTTGAACCTGGACCCTGGGCTCCACAAGCTCTCTGGCTGCTTTTCTGCAGCGGCAAATATTGTAGCAGAAAATATAAGTGTTGGGGAGATAAAAGTAAAGTGCCATGCTGTTGGGGAGGGGAATAATGGTAGCCACAGCCATTTTTAGCCAGAAAAATGCTGTAGCCTTGTGACAAATGCATGTGGGGGTTGCAACCTACCAACTTACTTGATTCACTGCCTGGGTCAAGGGTGTTTCCCACCCTGGGGGAGAATCATCCTTGCTGTGAACACCAACAATTGTAGAACGTGTCTAGGAAAATGCTGTTGTTCTCATGGCGGGCTTCTTAGTTGCCCTTGGAAACATCTCTAAGAACAGCAGAATATGGGTTAAACTCAGACTGGGCTTTTGCCTGGTCCAACAACTCTTCTTATCTTTGGAAATTCCTGCCCAACAATTTGTGCAAACATTCCTGTATGCTTATACAAATTATCTATTTCCTATCAAATATGACCCGCCGAAAATCAAACGGCTGAAAATACACTTAAAACATGACCCTTCTTTATTCTTTGTATCAACAATATTCATGGAATTAATCATTGAGCTTTCTCTTCTTTCTGAGGGATCTTCTTCTTCAACAGATAAAAAAACAGAGATACATTCACCATTAGCTGTAAATAACCAAAGGAGGAAACCCCAAATCTTCTGTATAGAAATCCTCCTATTGTTGGGCCAAATGTCCGTATCAGTGGAGTAACTGAAGCACTGATTCCCAGCATGGCACCTATGAGAAATGATGGAAAAATCAGCCAGCATAGATCAAAATTCATTTTAGGATCTGTACCAGTTCCAGTGGATTAAAAAGATCAGTGTCTTAAGTCTTAAATACATGTACCCCGATTGTAAATGGGCTCTGTTCCTAGAACATACTTGATCCAGTCAGCCTCTCTTCCAGTCAAATCTCTTTACTAGTGGTTCTCTCAGCCCACAACCAGGCTAAGCATTTTGGAAATACATTATCTGCAACCACTTTCTCCAGGAATTGCCTGGAATCCCAGGAGCCCTGGTATTCAGATGACTAGGCATGTATAAGGTCAATAGATTGGGTTCCCACAACACAACTCAGAGGGTGGAGCTAGTTTAACCCTGTGTGCTAGTTAAAATTAACAAATTGGGGATTAACTGACTTGACCAGTTGACTCTTTGGTATTTCCCCAATTGCTTCACTGGCTCCTTAATAGTGTTCTGTGAACAGGACTGTTCTAATGCTGGCCCCAATTCAGGTGACGTAGTTGCAGAGTATGAAATTAATAAACTTCTACCTCAATAATCAGTATATAAATATGCTTTTGTAGTATCTACACATTGCTGGACTTCTTGGGCGATTGAAATAATGCATGAAAGCAGTCAGTTTTTAAATATAGCACTTGCTACTTTACCAGCATTACAGTAGATTTCCTTTTTTCCTCCAGAAAGTTTATATATATATATATGTTTAGTTTTGTTCTACTGATCTTCGTAATAATTTAATATGTGCAAATATGGCTGAATGTCGCTTTAATTTTGTGGGCTTTTGAAACCCTGGGTACCTTACAATAGATAGATAGATGCTAGATAGATATCATGTGACTATGGTTTCAGTTCCTGGTTTTTGTAATAGCTGGTGTAATAGCATTTGGACATAACACAGAATTATGGCTCACTTTATCGAAAGCAGAAGTTTCATATTTCTTGTATCCAGAGTAGGAAAAGGAAAGATATATAGAAGAGAGGCTGCAGCTCATTCCTGATCAGTGAAACCATGATTTATGTATTAGCTCCATGGTGAGTTTCACTTGATTTGAGCATCACCTATAAAGATCTATTTGATGTACTTTTATGTTTCTTAAATTATATGGAAATTTTCCTGGCTGGAAGATTACTACCTGTTTGACAGCAAAGCAAGAATGAAAATAATTGCACACCCAGTGTTCATCAAGAGGACCAGTAATTTAATGGGATGCTCTCCACTGACAGGTTATCACTGCTGGGTGTGAAGAAGGAAATCTACTGGTGAAAGAGGTAACGTGCAGCTCCGCCCCTGGCCAAAAATGGGAGTTGAAGCTTTTTTTAATAACTGTGTTAGCTTGGGAGTCACTTACACTGCAGTAATTGCTAGGAATGGATGTAGCAAAAATAGCCTAAATGTTTAATATTTTTCTCCATTGGCACATGCTGTCCCTAACTGACTTTCTTTGAAGGCCAGCCCTTCTTCGCACTGAGGTGATAGGATAGGAACTGTGCTAGCTATAAGCTTATGTTCAAGGCTCTTCTGTGGTTCAGTTCAAAACCTCAAACTTAAATATAGCACAAATTCCAAACATGTTTCAGCCGGTGACTTCTCATTCCCCATCTAATATCCCCCAGCCCCAGCCCCCGCTTGCTGTCAGGTGTGACACGCATATATATAACTCACTGAATGGGGGTTGGGCTGGAAATCCATAGACTGTTCTTTTTGCAATATGTACGAACATCCAGGCACACGGGCATCCTTCCTTCCATTCCTTTGGACCCTGAAATCCTATTTCTGGTATACTCTGCCCCTAAGCCCTGTTTCTAGTTTTCTGCTGCTGTTAAGCAGACGTAAGCAGTCCTTCTCAATTGTCAACTCATAATCATCTATGCAAATCAGACTCAGGATAAGCCGCTGAACTGGCTTCCTTATGTGATTCAGGTTGCCCTCTGGGCCAAGGAAGCAAGCTGAGCAGGCTCCGTCTCCCTTACAAAAGCTCTTTTGAGAAACACTCTGGGCTGGCTGCAGCTGCTGCTTTCAACCTCCCCCCCCTCCCCCTTCATTTCAAAAGCTTTGGATAGCACCCAATAAGGAGCGAGTGCAGAGGATGTCCAGGCCATAAGCACAGATGTGTCTAGCAATATCAAACTTAATTTCAGCTGTTTTTGTTAAAATCTGATTCAGAGAAGTGAGACCCTTCCCAATGTTTATTTACTTAGATAGTCAAGTTTAAATTATCATCATCATCATCATCATCATCATCATCATCATCATCATCATCAATCATCATCATCATCTTCTCTGGGCATCTTATCAACATTCATACATCTTAACATCCAATCCAGCAGATTATTAGGAACCATCATCATAAAAATAATGTATTGCTTCCTAAGCAACAGCTAAGGAGAGTTCTTGTGTATCGTTAGGGATTCCTCAGAAAGGAAGCATCTGAGACACCTGAAGCTCTGAGAATCAGCCCTTCCCTGTGTGGCCCACTGCCATCATCCTCCATATAATCTCAATGGCTATGAATTGGACTTCTGATGGACTTTTGATTGGAGCTGCCAGTTGAGGAAAGCAGCACTTAGGTATGGGAGTTGCTTGGCTGTAAGATGGGGTGGAGTGGGGTGGGGTGGGACCTGTCTTGAAGTGCAGACAGGATCACATATCATCCAAAGTCCAGGCAGAAAGAACTGTGCGTAAACATTCACTAGAAAATTAATCTCAGGAAATGCTGCAAGATTTTATTTCTTCTTTAACAACTGGGTCATTAAGTAATATGGGTCACTGGCTCCCTTGCAGGCATTTTTGAAACTCCAGCTCTTTTGATTCTAACTAGCATTCACTGGCTTGGCAGATATGCAACTCCAGGAGGGATGACCCTTTTCTTCTGTATCCAATTATGTGAGATCTGCAGAGACTTTGGAACTTGGCATTACTTTTACTGCAGGTCTTTCAAAAGTTCCTAGGCAGAGCATGATGTACCAGACAGTTGCCAACACACATCTTTTGAAAGCAGCGAACCAAAACCAAGCAGCACATCCAAAAGAAAACATTATTCAGAAACGGAAAAGAGTTAACCTTACTGGTGTCAGAAGCAGGGACTGATTTGGTCAGGATGATATCAGTAATGACACTGACAATACTGAAGGAAAACACCATGGGGGGCACAATGAGGCAATAGTGAAATACGCTGGTCATCAGGACCTGTGAAAAAGAGGAAAAGCAGGAGCAGGTCTCAAAAATGAGATATTTGTATTCAGGAAGATCTTCTTACCAATGTTTCAGGTTCCACAAATGTTTTCAAATCTACTTGTCCCAAAACATATCAGTGCAGAGGAACTACTCTGTTCCATTCTATTTTCATAAATGACTTGGGCTAGATTTTCCAAAGAGCAGAATATTGATTGCTTAGGAGAAGGCAGCTTGTTAAATAAAGGGACAGCTATCAGGTCCTGATGAACTGAAACAAATGGCCACTGATGCTTAGCTCATATTTGTTTAGGCAGTTAGTATTAGATTTTTATGGCGGGGCATGTCTGTGTATTTCAGTTAGTGGCAGGGCATGTCTAAACTGTTTGATGTTTGTTTCTTCACCCCAGGAGACTCTGGTGCAACCTGACATATTTTGGACTTGACACAACTCACTTTCTCTGCTTCTTGAACCACTATCACAGGAACAGGATGGCTCACTAGCACAACATCTAGCAGCAGCAACATGCAGATGACAGGGGCTGGAATTACTATCCATATCTTTAAGTCCACAGTGGCAGTTATGAGGGTTGGTGGGTATCATAGCCAACGTTGAGCCACCCCATGGTTACTGACTTGATAATTACCCTCATAGATGAAGGTTGCTGATGTTGGCAGGAGAACTGATACTGTTAGTTCAGTAATGGGGAGCTTGTTTGATGCTATCTATAGCATCTCCTCCTCCACTATTACACAACAACATAGACAGAAATTACTCTCTTCTCTTGATCTTCACACAGTCTCAGCAGAAGTATCAGCTGACCTGCCACAAATCTTCAGATAGTTACATATTCTAGATGAAGCTTGTAACCCTTACAACATGCTGGTGTGATTATTACTAATATACATTACTAATATGTATTTCTCCTCCTTCCAGCAGACCACTGCTTACTTTTTTCATTTCTGATTTGATTAGGATTCTTCTAGTTTAAATACACAATGGACAGTTGATGAGAAGACTAAGGCTATTCCTAATGGGAAAGAACTATTAGTACCCGAGGGTCCCTGCCAACAGCTTCTGACCTAGATGATAAGTATCAGCAGAATATTCATTTCTCCAGCCTCACAGGAGTCAAAGACTGCCATATCACATGGGGGCCTTTTAACAATCCAGGAAGTTTCTATGCAGACGGCAGAACTAATCACTGTACTGATTTTGTCACTCTGTTGGCTTTAGTGCTCTTCTAAGACATCTTTCTATAATTATCCTAACGAAACAAAGTTTGGGCCAGTAAGGTTTTCTGGGAACTGTACATTGTCCCCATGGAGTTTATACTTTCTGAATAAGATTTCTGGGTTGAATTGCTGCTTAACCAGATTTTAACAAATTTGATCTGATATTTCCTGCCGGGCTTTGATTTCATCAGCCTGGTTCATTCTCCATCAGATGTTACCATCTTCCCCAGGGACTTTCGAATATCCATAAAGTGACTTATCTTCTAGGATAACTGATCCCCTGAGAATTAGGACTCTATGGAGCCTTGAGAGGATGGCTTGGGCCTGTTGGGGATCACATTTTCTATGACTGATTCAATCATTTACCTTCAAAGTTTGCCGTATCAGCCTGCACTGGTGTACACTGTATATGAGAAAAATACTCTCCCAACACGGCTTTAGCTCAAGAAAGAAAGCAGTATATTTAGGTACTTTCTTGGTTCTTTTTCAAAACCCTTTCCCAGAATTATCTTGGGGCCAAACTTTGCAATATGATATTTTCCTAATACAATATGCACAGCAATATCAGCACAGGTAATTAACATTAAATCATGCTCGTCAAAATATATGAAAGGCGGGACATGGGACTTAGGATTTGGGAAACCAGTTTGGCTTGCTCTCTTGTAAGTAACGTAACTGAACTTTAATGAACTAGTATGTCTCTCAGTTATGCAGATCAGTTGCATATATAGTATGGCAAGGGCAATCATTTTCTACTACTGTAGTATAGATGCTTAAAGTCTTCATTCCACATAGACATAGGCTCTAGATTTGGGAATGACTTTCTATGAATTCCTCAGTTTTGGGGAGACATTCAGTGGTGGACACCCTAGTTTGTGTGCAGAAGGTCTTTAATTCAATCCCTGGCTTTCTGAGTTGAAAGGATCAAGTAGCAGTTGATGGGAAAGATTTGTTTGTAGAAAGTCATTGGTATGCACACCATATGATAGTGGATGAGACAGACCAACACTTTGTTCTGCTATGTGATAGCTCCTTATCTGCCTTGTTCACAGACAATTTGCTGTTTCTTAAAGCACCAGTAATATGCAATCTTTGATACAGCTTGGAGAACAAATCTTTACAATAATCTGTGTTTCATTTCAAGTTGTGCCTGGTCAGAGTTTTGTCTAGAGCAGTGTTTCTCAACCTCAGCAACTTTAAGATGAGTCTACTTCAACTCCCAAAATTCTGGGAGCTAAAGTCCACTCATCTTGAAGTTGCTGAGGTTGAGTCTCCCTTGCTGAGATAAAAACATAACTCATGGCTATCATACCATCTACCTTTTCATTTTGTAGTATGCAGCAGGAGACAAGAGGAATCAAATATGTTGCTGCCATGATAATGCAAAGTCTGATGCTTAATGATAACATAAAATATGAATGGTTGACCACAGAAATAAGGAAACAAGAGTCATGGGGAATAAAGCAAAAGACACCAGGGCCTTTTTTAGACTCCGAGGAGCTGTGCGACTGATGGCAAAATGTTCATATGAGCTTTCCACCCCTGCTATTTTAAAAATTCTTTGAAGTCAGTGGCCCAGTAAATGAGTGTTTCCTGAGCTTGTTGGTTGTACTGCTTGAATGAAAAGTCTTCGATCCTAGAAAAGGCTTGCGGAAATACAGGTAAGGAAGTAAAAAGCAAGTGGCTGTTGTTGGCTGTTATATGAATGGTGTCCACTGGTAAAAAAAAAAAAGTCAAGATGACACCGACAAAAGTGCAACCAAAACACCAAAATGTTCATATGAGCTTTCCACCCCTGCTATTTTAAAAATTCTTTGAAGTCAGTGGCCCAGTAAATGAGTGTTTCCTGAGCTTGTTGGTTGTACTGCTTGAATGAAAAGTCTTCGATCCTAGAAAAGGCTTGCGGAAATACAGGTAAGGAAGTAAAAAGCAAGTGGCTGTTGTTGGCTGTTATATGAATGGTGTCCACTGGTAAAAAAAAAAAAGTCAAGATGACAGCGACAACAGTGCAACCAAAACACCCAATTTTTTATGCGAGTTGCACGTGAAATTCACATAAAAAATAGATGGAACTTTGATTGCACCTCTGGGGCTGCCACCTCGACTTCCTTGTCCACACCCTGTGAGCACCCCTGCCCTACATGTTAATTCTTAAAGCTCAATTTCTTGCTTTGCCCGTCCAACCCCAAACTGCTGCCTTGCCTTCTCTTCAGCAATGTAAGAATGCTTTGTAAATAAATACACCTTTTAAATTTCCTGAAAATAAAATAATGCTTTGCCTCCAGTCTTCCTTTTCTTTGCATTTACAATACATGGAGTTCAAGATCTTGGGATGGGGAGAAAAATCCAAGAGCAGCCCACTAAGCTCCAAGAGAATGCTTGATGTTTACATTTCATACCCAAACATACCCAGACATACCCAGACTCTAGTGCTTCAGGACTCCCCCCAAATAAATTTGAGTGGTGCCTTTTAATATTCATGAACTTAGAGGACAACTTAAAACATTCTCATTTTAGGAGACTGGGTCAGTGAAGAGTTGTAGTTCAGCAACACTGAGAGGTCATAATTCTTTACCTCTGGTCTCCTCTAACTAGTAACAGCTCTTTAGGCTTTCAAGTAGAAAATCCTTCCTCTCAACTGTCGCCTAAGTACTAGTTTGAAGTGAGCCTGAACCTCCTGTAGCTCTTCTATTGTTGGGCTGTGCTTCCTCTCCAAGACCAACGCTTCTTTTCGAGATGCCTCCTTATCAGGTTGAACTCTGTCTGGCCCCAGTTTGAAATCTGGGGCATCTTGTTTCTTACTGCTCTCTATTTCACCTCATTCTTTTTCCTTCATCTGGTACCTAAACTTTTGCAGGGCTCCTTTTCAACACAGCTGGCCTCAGTTAATTTCAGCCCTGCATATTTTGGAGGCCACTGAGGGGAAGTGATTCCACGGGGGTGGATGAGGGGAGTGTAACTTGAGATCTTTGTTAAACGTCTTCCTTATAAATCTTTTTATATCAGTAACTTTATCGGCTGCACACTTTGTTCAGGCATGGATGTTCCTGGTGTTTAGTTCAGGTTGTATCAAGATCTCTCTTTCCTTCGGAGGCAAAGAGATAGACATTTTCTTATTGGATGCTTAAGCTCAGAGCTTTCAAATAAGTTTTATTTGCAAAGAGGACTTCAGCCTCACTTTTCTATCAATAGTAATTATGGGAAACAATTTCTGGTCCCTTCCCTTTAAAGTTTATGTGGTCTATTTGCTAGAGTAAGCCTTTTCTCCCAGGTGTACCAAAAGTTAGATAAGGGTGTGTATATGTCTGTGTGTCTCAATGTACTTTTACTAAACTTTACTTTGTTCTCCAAATCAAAGCTTATTTTGCGCACATGTTAACATGTTACTGTTAAACTCCAAGAAATCATATAATAGAAATTCTTGGTCCTAGGCCAGACTGATAAAAGGAACCTTTTAACTTTAAATATATGAACCCAAATGACGAGTCAGTTCAGCCAGACTGCATTTTGGATTTTGGGAAAACAGTGTATATTTTCACTATTTCATTGGGATTATTGCTGCCCATATGAATGGACCATCACTACAGTTATAAAAGTTCCCATTACTTTTCTAACATTCAACTGCACAATCTACAGTGGACATTATTCCAGCACTTTGTAATCAGAAGTGATACCAAATTGTGTTGTCTTACCATAGCAGTGCCAACTCCACACAAAACAATGACACTCAGCATAAGCAAAGTCCGATCAGAATAGCGGTTGGTTAATCTTCCAATTACAACACCCTGGACAACCTGGGGCAAAGAGAAAAAAACAGACAAATCAAAGTCTCTGAAATTTCTAGGTTAAATACAGCCTCATACTGAACAGTAGCTTCTGCAGAGTAACAAGATCCAGAAACTACACTAGATCTATGTTCATGTCTTCTATCACTTGGATCCCCAACAGGGCAGGCAGGGATGATTAAGGTGCCTGCCAATACATTCTGTAGCACACACCATGTTTTCTACCCTAATTTTATTTTATTTTTTAATGAATATTTAAAAATGAATATGAAGTTCACAGGTGCTCACAGGTGTTTTGCAATTGATCAAGTCCATCATCACATTAATTTTGTAGGAGTGCCCATAGAATTTCAAATGGATCAAAGAAATATTATGCTGATAATATAAAGAAATCACAACTTAAGAAAATGTTACACATAAATGCATGCAATGGAACTTTGATGGCTTTTAACTAAAGCCATTTGGAGAAGGGACAGGATTCTTCTCTCATTACTATCCTCCCCTAAGCTGTTCCCACCTCTAACCATTTAACCATTCTTTCCAATGTTTTATTTGTCACAGGAGACAAGCATTTGTGACAACGTGGGGAAAAAGCAGCTGGGAAGGCATTTTGAGTTGGAAAAGTGCCTAAAAATTTGGGAAGAATGGGCATGGGGTGCTACCTAAATTAGACAACAGCTGGTTCTGACAATAATTCATCATGTTAGTCATTAAAATGAGAAATGTCAAAGTAGTAATCAGGATTTTATTTTTATTTATTTTTTAGATTTTTTTATCCCACTTTTATTACTTTATAAGTAACTCAAGGTGACAAACTTACCTAATACTCCTTCCTCCTCCTATTTTCCCCACAACAACAATCCTGTGAGGTTGGGCTGAGAGAGAGAGTGACTGGTCCAAAGTGACCAAGCCAGCTTTCGTGCCAAAGGGAGGCCTAGAACTCAGTCTCCTGGTTTGTCTTTAAAAAGTGGTATTATGTCAACAAATATTTTAAAAACCCAGCAAATTACAACAATACCCATTAAGACCAACAATACCAAAATAGGATTGAAATTTTAGTGAACTCAGTGCTTTAATATCAATCCCTTGATATCACAAGTTCAGGAATCTGCTCTAAGGTTAAATTAAAGCTCTTAAGAAATATCGTGTATTTGGAATGTAAGATTGACAGGTACAAATTTTCCAAAATTTTCTTTGAGTTGGATGAAATTTCTTGATAATAAAAAGTTAGAAAATTTGGTCCTGGTTGCTTTACTCTGAAAACTGAAGACATGAGGAGAAATAGTTCAATATCCTCCTCAAGTGTATATAGTCAAAATACGAATGCTTAGTAAGAATATTTTAACTCCCCTCACCCCCTGCTTTTAAATATTGCTGATATGGTACACAGTTAAGAAAATTAGAACAATTAAGAGACTTTACCAGTGAAAAGACATCAGTTAGAATCCAACTGTACAGCAAAACAACTTAGTGCTCAGAGTCTTACTAAATAGGTGTATTTCTACACCAACATTTGGGAAAAAATTCATCCATGTCCCACCATTATACACATAAAGTTCCATTAAAAAGGAACCAACAGAAATTTAATTCTTCATTAGGTGTTTGAGTCGCAGAACTGTCAATTTTCTTACTCTGCTTGGACAAGCTGCCTGTTGGCAAAGATTAGAGTCCTACAGATTTGAAGCTTTTCTTCCCACTGTTGTCCAGTAAAGCAAGAATAAAATGAGGTTTTGGCTTAGCATAGTTGGGTGGAAGTTTAATAATTAGGTCTCATAAACTGGGATCATACTGCCTAGTTAATATCCCTAGGCAGGCAAGATTCAAATGTTTACCAGGCAGGTCATCAAACATATCCACCAGCTGTCCTCTCTATATGTTCCTCTGCGATTTCTTCTTAAAGAAAAGGTTGTAGATGCAGTCTTGACATATCCCTTCAACCACTTTAAAGACACTGTCCTTTGAACACGTGATCCAATTCTGTCTTGCAGATGTATGGAGAGAGATCTCACCACTGTCTAAATGGGAAGCCACCCAAGAGCTTTTTGAAAAAAGAGCAAGCTCAAACGTAGAAAAGTAGGCAATAAATTGATATAGATGACAACACAATCATCCCTTAAAATAGTACTTAAATGCACAGGTTTCTTCCTTGGGTGTGCCACTGTACTAAACAAGTAATTATAGGGTTTGAACTTTAATTGGATTTTTTCCCCACCCTAAGGGCTGGTTCCCAGACTCCACAGACATGCCTTCTAACACACTCATTTCTACACTGACTCTACTACAATACAAAAGATAGTCATTTTGCAGCTGATGGGGCCATGGGAAGTGTTGGGGTTACTATTATCCCTTGATCCTTTTTTGGGGGGGGGGTGCTGTTGCATGGAATGGAATTGCAAAATGTTCCTGTAAAATCCCAAATGACTATTGGAAAATCAGAAGCCTACTCTTGTCTGCCAGCATTGTTTTATGGCTGTTGTTTTAATTAAGTTATATTTCACTGTTGACATTCAGACCATGCCATCAGAGTGTGCTCTTTAACATACTAATAATAACCAGTGCAGGATTGCTTATCCGATCTATCACTCACAGCCGCAGAATTACTTGCGACAGTGCCCTAGTTTTGAATACTTTTGGCTTTATTTACACGCGCTCTCCTTACACACACAAACACCTGCCTTGGATTGCTTCTTTCCCTAAAAAGGATTCAGTAAACAAAGAAAATAGCATCAACAATATAAGAAGTCCAGTGATGATTGCATCACAATTACAAGCAAGTTGCACAGCTATTCTATCTGCTATTCTGCTGGAGCAGATCTTAGAATACAAAACACCCATTTAAATTATTGATCAGGAAAGACTACCGCCGACAGTAATGAAAACTGCAGAAGCTGGCTTTGTAATGTTTCTTTCGGCTGAAACAGGATAGATGGGTAAGGAGGATGGGGAAAGAATGTCAATAGTTCTACCATCCATCAAAAATTGTAATGCATAAAGGTAATCTAATCAATGTCAGTGTGGCAGCAAAACCACCTACGTTTTGCCTTGCAGTCTGGGAAAATGTAATGTGAAAAGCAGCCAGACAGGGCGCTGATATCGCAGCTTGGACTGGAACAAGATGTGCGGCTATCAAAGGAAAGACTTCTACACAGTTGGCTAGCAAATGTAAGAGATAAAAATTCCACAGGTCAAGGTGGCAGACTTAGGGGGTGGGGTTTGTGAGCATAATTTTTCAGTTCACGCCTAGACATGATGGCTATGATGGTCAACTGCAGGCAGCAGAATGGTTTTGGAAGAAGAGGCTGTAAGGCAGACACAAGTCAGGATCTTCTAGAAGTATTATTTTATTGCTGCCTCTTCAGATCAGAATGAATGCTTCTAATAATCCAGGACAGGGGGCTCACAGCAGATATTCAGTGGACAGTGAAAATGGTGTTTTATTTCTTAGAAAATGTATTACAGAGTGGAGCTTTAGGTTGTAATGATACAATAGGTCAGTTTAATACAAGTAGATTAATTCACTTTCCAGACTAACTACCTGAATGGTTATTCATTCATGCTGACACACAGGCCATGAAAAGTTGTTAATTTAATAACATCAACAGAAAAGCTATTTCTGCTGATAATTAATTCACCATTCAGTTGAATATTTTTTTTAGAAAAAAAGAGCGATGGAAAAAAAATCAGAAGAGAAGAAGAAAAGAAGTGCTATGTTCATTTCAAACAGCTTTCCTAAAGAATCAGTGTGATTCTTTAATGCAGCACAATCTATCTTGATGCATTATTCTTAAGACTTGTCTCATAAAAATTTTCTATTCATGCCTGGAAGATGAGGGCCCCGCTGCTATTAGAGCAAAACTTAAGCAAAATGGCAACTCTCCTCTTTTTGTGTTATATCAATGGCGTGTTATGAGGTATGTTATGTTGATCAATGGCAGCTGATGAAGTAATTCACAAAAGGGGGAAAGGCTCCCAGCACTGAGTGGAAATCAAGAAGAAGGGGATCTGGCAACCTTCTAAAATGAATCCTGTACCAAAGACCAATGTGGTGCATATTATTACAACATATACTTCATAGGGAGAATTATTGGTATTTGCAGTTTAAAAGATCTCAGAGTAGGTGATGGGGAAAATCTCTGCTCAGATCTGGAGAGTACTGGCCATAGTAGACAATACTGGGCCAGAATGAGGGAGAAGCTATGCTTTTTGGGTCAAGGAGTACATTGGTCTTTGATCAGTGTACTGGGGCCACACTACCCAAAAGAAATGGGACTATAAGAAAAAGTATAATTGATTGGATTTCCTTTATGTTTCAGATAAACAAAATTGAATTTTAGTCTACCTTTGGTCTCATGTGTTAAACGATTTTCCCTTTCTGACACATTACATGTATTTGAAAAGAACTTTAGGGAGCCTCTGGAAGCTGCATTGGTGATTTTTCAAACCTGAAGCCCTGGAGAGGTTGTGTCTCTCTGAGCCAGATGGATCAAAGGCAGACTTATGTGTTCTCTCAACCCCATGAGGCTTGCTGATACTGTGGTTTGTATTGGAACAGAATATTCTGGCCCTTCAAAAGAAAGTTTCCTACACAGTGCTGAGCATAAGGCTGGCAATACTTTACTGAGAAAGGCACATAACTCTTTCTTCCTCCTGGATAGCACTCAACAAGAGTAACCTTCAAGGGCAGTCTTTCCCCAATATGGTACCCTTCCGGTGATTTTGAACTGCAATTCCTATAAACTGCAGAAACCATGAGAAAGGGCTTACTGGAAGTGGACTTTAAATCATATGGAGGGCACCATGCTGGGAGGCTGCTCACGCAAAATATTTCACACGCCACAGCTGATGTTATAATGTATGATAGCCTAGATTAACACAAGAAACTATCTTTTATAGATCATTGCCCAATCTAGCTGAGTACTGTTAATGCTGACTGCTGGAGATTCTTCTCTAATGTTCCAAGCTGGAATTTTTCTAGTCCTCCATGGGTTTGCTTGCAACTGAACATGGGT